GGATGAAGAAAAAACATTTTTTTCATCCTTCTTTTCCTTTATCGTCTTTATCTCCGTGGTTTTCTTCATCTTCTAATCACTTGTGTCCGCTCACTACATCTGGTCTCTCATGCTTTTGAGAGTTAATTATGATCTCTTTCACATACTGTATAATATGTCCTGTCCTTTAATCCCACACACTGTTTCATTATATCAGTGTCTTTACCTTTGCAGACCAAACAGCACAGTTGATGTGTTCATTACAACAAATTTAATGCAGAAGAGCATATATGGACAACAGTTTACACCTGAAACCATGATATTGTTCAAAAACGTTTTGTTATTTAGGCATTGGTCACGCTCAACATTTACACAAACTCCTTGTCTTATTGGAAATGCATCTCAGCCTGAGCACAAGGAAAGCTGGTGAGAATCTCTGAAAGGTTATCGAGCAAGAAAATGTCATCTGAGCTGTGATCATTTGAACCTTGAGAGAGTTTGGGTGATATTCACTCCTACACAACTGCGGTATAGTCGATCTGGCTGAGCACACGCTGTTCCCTACTAAACACACACATAAACACACACACGCACATACATAAACACGCTCAAGAGCTCACAGATGCAGGCAAAGGTCTTTTGTTTAGTCTTAGAACTCTCTGTGCCTTTGCTCATTAACCCCAGCATGGCTATTATACCATATAAACCACAAGCTGCATACTACTTAAAGTCAAGAAATATGTTTGTCAAATTTAGTTCTGTCTCAAAACTCCATTTAGAGTCTTCATTGTTTAATAAAACACTGGATATGCATGAGTCATAATGTCCTTTAAACCTTCATGGACCATTAAATATGGAATATTGACCATATTTCCAAATGTAGCATGTGATATCAAGCCAAAATGGAGTGATACAGTATAGTAGCCTTAGCCTGTACATGAACTACAAAGTCTTATATATTTTAACATTTCATGAATGGATTTGAAAGTGCAAACATAATTTAAAAAAAAAATCATAAAACTGTGAGAGACATTCATGCGGTTAACAACAATTTAATGTCACTAGCACATGTTTGAAACCACCCTCCATACTCTCATTCACTATCCTCTACATAACTCCACTAATATACAGTAGTCAGCATTTGAAGAGGGTCAAAAAAAGTTAGTCTAAGTTGTCCTAAGACAAGACCGGGTATTGTTCAAAATTCATGTATAACTTTGATGAAAGGTTTTGATCCACTTCATATGTTGACTACTTGTAGTTCACTTGAAGAAGTGAGTGAATTCGGACACCGAGTTCGCCGGAAGGCTTGCCGCTTGTGGGCCTATAGTTTGTCAATCATTTGAAACTTAGCAAACTGAAAGATTGATCTTGAACTCTGTCATGGAAACTAGCATGCACAAAGCTTAATTAAACAATTTAATAGCCAATTAAAAAGGAATGCCTGTATGATATATTACGCTGTAGCCACATTGGACCAGCGTTTTAGAAAAGGCATGGATGGATGATTCAGCGGCGGACGTATCTTCTGGTCAGATGCGGGAATTCATTTGGCGTGCGACTCTCACAGTGCATTATGGGTATTCTAGTCGTTGAGAGTACATCGGTTGTACACCACTGATCTATATGAGAACATTATACAGATCAGTGTTGTACACTTGTTATTGCGGTGCATTGTGGGATTGAATGAGGGCACTCGATAAGGTCCACTATGGTTTCGGACACCACTAAATGGCTGTATAGGGTATAGGGGACAAGGTGTGTTTGACTTGGGGCGCGCTGTGCAGACCGATCTGAGTATGACATCAAAGTACCACGAGATTGATTCGAAAGCATTCTCTTCTCTCTAATCGCTCTCGCGGTACTTTGATGTCACACAACGATCGGCATTTGCAGCGCCGCTTCAAGTCAAACACACCTTTTACACACCAACTTAACTCAAACTGATTGAGCCATCTCTGCCATCTGTTTGAGGTATGTTATGCCACAAAGATCCACTAGATGTCACAGTGTCAATCAACAGCACTTGTCACAACACTTCTTCTAACATGGATGTCAGAAACAAATAAATCACCTCAGCCATGTGAACAATGCACTATTAAAACTTGGTTGTAATGCTTTGGAATAAAGACTTAAGTTTGGTCTTTAAAGAAAACACTCAGCAGATTATTGCTGAAGTAAAAGGACTTCAAAAAATAAAAGTATGAAAAAGTTATGGAAGTTTTAAATTTACATTAAATCAAATATACTGTACTATTTTTTCTTTTATATAAAATATATATTTTACTAAATATTTTTTACTATAAAATGACTATAAAATCAAAGCCATATACAGGTCCTTCTCAAACAATTAGCATATTGTGATAAAGTTCATTATTTTCCATAATGTAATGATAAAAATTAAACTTTCATATATTTTAGATTCATTGCACACCAACTGAAATATTTCAGGTCTTTTATCGTTTTAATACTGATGATTTTGGCATACAGCTCATGAAAACCCAAAATTCCTGTCTCAAAAAATTTGCATATTTCATCCGACCAATAAAAGAAGTGTTTTTAATACAAAAAAAAAAAGTCAACCTTCAAATAATTATGTTCAGTTATGCACTCAATAGTCAATACTTGGTCGGGAATCCTTTTGCAGAAATGACTGCTTCAATGCGGCGTGGCATGGAGGCAATCAGCCTGTGGCACTGCTGAGGTGTTATGGAGGCCCAGGATGCTTCGATAGCGGCCTTAAGCTCATCCAGAGTGTTGGGTCTTGCGTCTCTCAACTTTCTTTTCACAATATCCCACAGATTCTCTATGGGGTTCAGGTCAGGAGAGTTGGCAGGCCAATTGAGCACAGTAATACCATGGTCAGTAAACCATTTACCAGTGGTTTTGGCACTTTGAGCAGGTGCCAGGTCGTGCTGAAAAATGAAATCTTCATCTCCATAAAGCTTTTCAGCAGATGGAAGCATGAAGTGCTCCAAAATCTCCTGATAGCTAGCTGCATTGACCCTGCCCTTGATAAAACACAGTGCACCAACACCAGCAGCTGACATGGCACCCCAGACCATCACTGACTGTGGGTACTTGACACTGGACTTCAGGCATTTTGGCATTTCCTTCTCCCCAGTCTTCCTCCAGACTCTGGCACCTTGATTTCCGAATGACATGCAAAACTGAGCAACAGTCCAGTGCTGCTTCTCTGTAGCCCAGGTCAGGCGCTTCTGCCGCTGTTTCTGGTTCAAAAGTGGCTTGACCTGGGGAATGCGGCACCTGTAGACCATTTCCTGCACACGCCTGTGCACGGTGGCTCTGGATGTTTCTACTCCAGACTCAGTCCCACTGCTTCCGCAGGTCCCCCAAGGTCTGGAATCGGTCCTTCTCCACAATCTTCCTCAGGGTCCGGTCACCTCTTCTCGTTGTGCAGCGTTTTTTGCCACACTTTTTCCTTCCCACAGACTTCCCACTGAGGTGCCTTGATACAGCACTCTGGAAACAGCCTATTTGTTCAGAAATTTCTTTCTGTCTTACCCTCTTGCTTGAGGGTGTCAATGATGGCCTTCTGGACAGCAGTCAGGTCGGCAGTCTTACCCATGATTGCGGTTTTGAGTAATGAAACAGGCTGGGAGTTTTTAAAAGCCTCAGGAATCTTTTGCAGGTGTTTAGAGTTAATTAGTTGATTCAGATGATTAGGTTAATAGCTTGTTTAGAGACCCTTTTCATGATATGCTAATTTTTTTAGAAGGAATTTGGGGTTTTCATGAGCTGTATGCCAAAATCATCAGTATTAAAACAATAAAAGACCTGAAATATTTCAGTTGGTGTGCAATGAATCTAAAATATATGAAAGTTTAATTTTTATCATTACATTATGGAAAATAATGAACTTTATCACAATATGCAATTGGTTTAGAAGGACCTGTATCTAACCAAGTTGTGTTCCAAATTTGAAGTTGATATCACAAAAATTGAAGTTCCCATGAGATTTTGTTTAGGCGTAATACCAAAAATAGCCCCCGGGTGACAATTGTCTGCATTCTGCCGTTACAAATTATCCAATAATTGTCCAAATATCACTTATGTCACAAAATATGGAACCTTGAGACTCAGACCATTCTGACAATGTGTTTTGTCAAGATTAGAAAAGGTTTTGATCATAAATTATGATGGGCAATGAAAAAAAAAAATCCTGTTGCTCTACCACACTTGACGGCATGTTTCTTGAAACATAAAAGCCTAAAATACCATTATATTACTATCTTTTGCTCTCTTTTTTATTAAGTTTTTGAATGCAGAAAGAATGTAATTTCTTTGGTTTTGTTACTTTTAGTTATTTGTGTTATTTATTTTTCTGATTTTCATAGTATATGTGTATGAATTCCGGTACCATTTTTTTTTACCATTAAGTGACATCTCAAGCATTTGGTAGAGGCCGATATTTTAAAAATGATGGGATGTGCTGAAAAACAATACATTGAGTGTGGTTACTAGCGACATAAGGAGATAAGAAATGCAAAAAAAAAAAAAAATTCCATCACTTTTTTCTTGGTGCGGACTAAATAGGCTATAATTATTGTTTATTCATATTTATTAAATTATTAGAATTGACTTATTCTTTTTTTTTCTTAACCCTGATGACATTTAGCCTATAAATCTTACTATAAAATTTAAAAAATATATAAATAAATCATGTTTTTATCTATTTTGCATTACACAGGCTGCATCAAATATATGGAATAATGTGACTAATGTTAATTATATCAGTAATAAATTAGGCTATAGCCTATCTTAATGCAGGAACCATAATTAGACTGTGGATCCCGCATGGAACCCTGTCCCCTTGGAGCAGCGATGAAAAATTAACTTTCGCAGTTCACATTGCTCGAAGAATGATATGCAGGATAATGACAGATAGCCTACATCTGTGCTTCATACACACACACACGTGTGCTTCTGGGTGCCTGGAAATATATGACGTGACTCGCTAAGGCAATTCCACATCCCGTGAAAAGGTTGCGCTCTGACGCAATTGCCCTTTTTAGGAGACATTCGCCAAATAATTATAATTAGGCCAGCAGCGAATGCCTGTTGCTCCACTGATTGAATTGAAAGAAAAGTGGATGGGCGGAACTGGAATTTCAACACCGGGACTAATAAAGCTCAACCTTGGTAAATCCTTGATAGCTTTGACGTTTCTTTTTAATGTATCCGTCAGCAAATGGGGGAAAATACCATTTCGTTTGGAGATATCTGGAATGGAGCTATCTGATCTCGCAATTGAACGAAACTGCATCTCTGGAGGCGAAATCTCCAATTCCATCAGGTGAGTAGAATTTATGTGTTACGTCAATCAATTCGCGTGTTTTTTTAAACCATATTTGTACGTACAAACGCAATATTTTCCATGTTTTCTAATTTATTTACAGCATGTTTTCCCCCTCTCCCCTTTTCAGACATATCGAAATGCAGGTCTCCAAAAGCCCTTTCATCTCCACTGTCAATGCAGTCACATCGAGGCAAGAGCTGCGGTGGATAATCGAGCCAGTGATGGCTAGTGAGAGACTGGACCAGAGCAGAGAGTCAACAACAACCGACAAACGAAATGTACAGGTACAAATACTTAACATATGAAATATTAAGGCATTTTCACTGAATATTTTTTCAGGGTTAGCTTAATTTCAGAAGTGATTTCTATAAACAAAACAAACAAAAAATAAAAAACAAAACATAAAATAACTAGACAGTTGACTGTAGCCATTGAGATGACTTGGAAAAAGTGTCCCAATTAACCCAATTGTGTTTTGCAACTTCAAAACCATGTACTGAGATAGCGCTTGTGACAAATTCCAACTTCCCAGTTTGACAATTAGCTCCTCTATATATAAAATTACTATCAATAAAGATCAGTAAACCAATGAAGGACAGAAACAAATTATTCCAGTTTTTTTAAACAATCGCTGACACATTTCTCAATGTGCATACAGGCCAATTTGCACGTTTACTTACTTTTTTCAAAACTGTTAAACTTAAGTTCAAAACTTAACATAATATATATGACAGTAATTTGCTGCATTTCTACTGTAATACCATTTTGAAATGTATTCTAAGTCTAAAAAAATGAAATACTATCAAAACTATGTAGCTGAAGCCCTACACAGGTGTAGCCTTTCAATTTCATTACCATCTATACAAAAGGGACAATTAAGGAATATTTTTGTTATGTAATCATGGATCATGTAACTTATACTGTACTGCAGTGACTTCTAAACAGTAGAGAATGTCACTCTTGTTTTGTATAGGAACTTTACAAAAGAAAACATTGCTATTATGTGTTGTAATTGTTTCTGCTAGTGTTATAGAAGAATAACTTGATTTGAGACAAAATGGTAGCTTTAGTGCATTTTAAATGGGAAATTAACTGCTGTGCAAAGTTGGTTAGGAGAACTGTGTGAAGAGTTTTGAAAAAAGTGACCTAAGTATTGAGAAATGTGTCCTAGCGATTAAAAAAAACTGTAATAGTTATGTATAACAATATAGTTATATTGCAAAACAGTTGTTTTGTTCCATTATTAGCTCAGTCCAGAAGAAGAGGAGAAGAGAAGACGGAGAAGAGAGCGTAACAAAATGGCTGCTGCCAAATGCCGCAACCGCAGAAGAGAACTTATTGACCTTCTGCAGGAGGTGAATAATATGGCTGTACTGCCAATTTTTCATTACGTGTTCAGGGTGGTGAACATGTATCTTGTTTGTCCAGTTTTAACTTGAGACTTTTGTAATTATGCAAAGAATCTATCACGAATGACATATGATGAATGAATCATCCAGGTATTAAAGGGATGGTTCGCCTAATAATAAATGATTTCATCAATTACTCACTTCAATGTAATTTCAAACCCACAATACTTTTGCTCATCTTCACAAATGAAAATCTGAAAGATTTTTATTGTCATTTAAAAGTCAATTCACCCAAAACTCGGACGCTTCAGAACGTTGTTACGGTTTCCTGATTGGTCTAGGGCAGGGACGCAACCGCAAAATGGATGGTGGTGAATGAGTGTACAACAGCATGAAACCACCCCAGAACTGTTTCACAACAATAACCCAAATAACCACATTATATTTCACAATAGACAAGTGTTTATTTAAGCAAAAGAAAAAAAAGGGTATCTATTTTTTAAAGGCGGTATCAAAAATGGATAAAAATAGATACCCTCAGTAACCAAACTACCTAAACTAAAAGAAAAGAACACAAAAGTACAGCAAAATAAGCTAACTGTCTAGATAACATACCAGAGCCTGGGGCCCAACAGACGGAGGCAGAGATAGCGACAGTGGAGAACCCCGCAAAGCTGTGAGGACAATGACCCATGGCGAAGTTACAGAGTTAGAAGTCCGAGGCGACACTGCCGGCTTGGGTGGCTGAGGGAAAAAATTGGCACAGACGGAAGGAAGAGGGAGCTTGGTGGAGCCCAAATGACATCGGGCCATTACGAAGCTGAGGAAGAGTAGAGCCAGGGTGGAGCCAATGAGCTGATAGGCCGAGGTGGAGTAGATGAGTCCTGGGGACTGGACGGAGCCAGCGGTGATGGATACAATGGGGTTGGCAGGTGACAGCGTGAATGTGGATCATCTAGAGTTTCGAGGGACTAGGCAGAGCCAACAGTGATGGAAACAACGGAGTGGGCAGGTGGCAGGGTGGGAGAGGATTGCTTAACAGGTTACCAGGTGTGCTGGCTCCGTCGAGAAGCTGATAAGCCAGCGCTTCTCGACTGGCTCTTGAGAAGACGGATGTACCTGGTGGTTATGGGCTCTAGCCTCAGGTGGAGGTTCTATCCGACTCTAGCTCAGAGACGGACGCATTGGGAGGACTTGGTTATGTGGTGGGAGGCGGCTCTCACACATGGTCAGTGACAGGCCCTAACTCTGGCTCAATATCTGTGGTGGGCTCGGAAATCAAATTCAGATCCACAACGCAAGATCTCCCATGCTGTCTAGGACACTCCAGGCTGGGATGAGATCTGTCTGAAGCAGGCAGGAAGATTGCTGCTGCCGATGGAACATGTGCCAGGGAGTTGGAGATGGTGTTGTTATCCTCAATGACTCCCATGGTGAAAGGAGAGCGATGCTCCCTCAACAGCAGCATCTGGCCAGGTATATTGTCCATCCCACTCCAGAAGAGGTGTTTGAGTGTTTTTTTGTCCCAGCATGCCTCGTTCTAGAGCTCTAGGAAGCCCTCAACATTTTCCTCCAGCGTCCAGCCGTCTTGTAGGAAACAATCCTTCTCCATTTTGGCTTGGTCGGATATTCTATCACAAACACTGTGGTAGTGAACAAACGCATGATGCATGATAACTCACCAAAAGATACTATAATGAACACAGAGTAGAATCAGGTATATACACAGAGTATAAATACACTAACTACATTTACCAACAATGAGGACCGACAAAGCACTGAACAGAACAGGGAGTAAATGAGGGCCCAAACGAGAAACAGGTGAACAAAATCAGTAACTAAGGAAACTAACTTGGGCACAATAAAGACTAAACTAAGGGGCCATTTACATGACACTGTTATCAACTAAAACCTGAACACTTTTTATCCAGTTTGGCCATTTATTTACATGACAATGGCGTTTTGGGGGCCTGAAAACGCAAACTTTTGAGAACTGGTATCAAAGTATATTTTTGAAAAACCCTACGGTTATTGTCTCCATGTAAACTACAAAAACACGAATTTGTAAAAACAGTGACATCATGCATGTGCGTATTGCGTGTTCATTCTATAGGCGAGTTTGTTTCTTTACGAAGTGACATGATAGTGCAGCGTTTTTAGTCGTTTTCGCTGATCCGTGTGAACGGGGATCGTTTTAACTGCGTTGTAGTCACATGCACTGAAAACAAGATAGAACCCTAACAGTTCCGAAGATTAACACAAGTCTTATAGGTTTGGAATGACATGAGAGTCAGTAATTGATGACAGAATTTTCCTTTTTTTTTGTATACCCTTTAACAACACTATTAAATGTTTTGATAGTTTCAGTTCATAGTTTTCAGTCACATGACCTGGGGGGCAAAACATCCATAGGACTGCGGCACAGGCATGTTAATTTTGTCAATCCACGAATATCTAGATCACTTCTCAAAATAAGAAAAACAAAAATATGTGAACAAATTGCAAGTTTTAGATGCTTGTGAGATATACAGCACCTGCTGCAGTATTTCAATCACTAAAACCAGCAGGACATTCGAAAACACTAAACGTGAAAATATGTAATATTAAAAGATCATCGGTAGGCCTACGTAGGGTTTACACTGAATTTGATAAGGAATGCAGACAAGCAGATGAACCCAGAATATGAATGCAACACAATCTTTATAATAGTTTTCTATGGAAAAACCCTTAATGAGAATATGGGCTCATGATCAAACCTGCACAAACATAGTATGCATAAGTGTATATTGAATTTGGTCCCACTATATCAGTACTTAGTACAAACTTGACTGGTAAAAATCAATGGTGGGCAATGGAGGAAAGCCTCGTTCCTAAGTGTTTGACGTAATGTGAAAATTATGAGTTGAGAAAATGGAAACAATTCCATTGGACAATCCAGCAGTGTGTTTCAGGGAATCTGGCACTGCTACGTAATTACCAGAAGCACATGCTAATGAGAACCAGCTGTGAATTTGTTTTCAGGAGACCGAGCGCCTGCACATGGAGCAAGTCTTGCTGCAGAGGCAGGTGAGCTTCCTGCAACAGGAGAAGGAACAGCTGAAAATGCTGCTGGCGTCCCATGCATCCACCTGCACGCTGGCACAGGACAAGCCTCCTTCCTTGGATACCTTTCTGTCAAGAGAGCTTCTACCATCCAGAATTTCCATCGCGATTAAACGGGAACCTTTGGATGATGTTAGCGGGTCAGAGAGTTTGGCGCTCCAAAATGCAGACATACAGAACTGACAGAGAAAAGCCATGACTTACACTAAATTCAGTGAGGAAGATGATGCACTAGCGCTTTTTAATAAAATATCTTTGTAAATACCTCATTACCCTTACCTTACGCAAGAGACATTCTGGATTCAACATTCAACTTTTCCTGTGGTAAGAAACCCATTCCAGATGGGGATGAAATCACTTATGGTGCTCTGTCATAAGTTTTTTTTTCCCTTATTTGTTGAGTGACATGATAATTAGTCTATTATACCATTTGTCTTTGAAATAGTGATACTTTGTAACAATGGCTGTTAATGTTTGGTATTTTTAAATGTGGTAAGTCTGAGTCTAAATGCACTGACCTTATACATTTACCTGATTTGTCAAATACATAGCAAGGGCTTGACAAAAAGAACATCCTGATGTTGAACATATTGAACATGGTTGCCAATCGTGCTGACCAACGTTATCTAATGATTTGTAATGGTTAGAAGGCACCAGTTAGAATGGTTTGAAAATTATAAACCAAATCAATGATGTTTAACACATCACAGCGTATCATTTTCTAGCCAAAGTGTGTTTATGAATTTATAACTGTCAATATATATATAAAAAAAAACATGTTTAAATTTGTGAACTATAATAATTATATATATCAGAAATATGTCATTTCATTTTTGTCTGTGCTATACTGCAAAGTTATCAGCGAAACTCTGTTTTGAACAGAAGGCACAATAACTGTTGGTTATACTTTTCAGATTATGTAACTTCATAAGTATGCAAAAACATATTCTACATATTCTGTCTGTAAATAATTGCAATTTACGACTATTACGAACCCACTGACTATCATTGTTTAGACAAAAATATAACAAAAAACTCTAAAACATTTTTTTTTTTAAATATCTCCTTTTGTGATTCACAGAAGAAAGAAATGCACATAGGTTGAGTAAATGATGAAACAATTTTAATTTTTGGCGTACTATCCCTTTAAGCATTTAGCTTACATGCAACAAGACAGAACATGCCCCATGGAGGCTATTTTGACATCTGCAAAGGAGTGGCAATACTCAGGCACACATGAAGAGCCCCCTTCCCCATTCCATTACAACAGGAGGAGGATTTCCACTACGCTGTGGGCATGAGTTCCTGTTTGGGATTTGGGAATTTGACTTTCAATTCACACAGGCTTTTGCGTTTTCTATTTAAAGGGCACAGGATATTGTGAAAAATCCCCCAAACTTTTAATAGCCTTCTTCAGGTGTGAAGAAGGAAGAGTACTGTTAGGTGTCCGGTGTTCACACGGAGATGAAACCTTGACTCACGTTTCCTTCGATAAACAAAACTTAGTATTTTGCTCAATCAGTAAGATGGATAGGCCTATCTACTGTAGGCCATATGTTACTCAATCAGTAAGAAGGAAGGAGAGAACTTCCGTATGAAATGTCTTGTAAACTTTTTAACACTGTTATATTTCATTGTCATATTGATTAGCATTGTTTAATTTCTAAGATTATTTCAAATCCTGTTGCAAGTGTAACAGGATTTGAAATAATCTTAGAAATTAAACAATGCTAATCAATATGACAATGCGATAATATAATGTTGGAAAGTTGGTCACACAACCACAGATCTCAGATCTTTTAACTCTGCAGAGAGATCAAGACAAAATAAACCACCGATGAAAAAATGTACTGACTGAAAGAAATGTTATTTCATAGAAATAAATAATATTTTAATGTAGATTAAAATAGTAAACTATTTTAAATTGTAATATTTGACAAAATTACTGTTTTTTTCCCCTGTATTTTTTATCAAATAAATGCAGGCTGAAGTTGCCCTGTGTATCATCACCTTAAGAGACTTACAAAAAAATAAAAAATAGAAATGTTTCCAAACATTTGACCGGTACTGAACATTTTCGTAAGTGGAACTTGTCCATTGTTCATGAGATGACATACAAAAATAAAAAAGTTTATTGGCATCAATGGTTCGGTTTCATGAGGAGCCTTAAACATCATTGGAACCTTTGTATTGGAAAAAACAACAACAACAACAACAAAAAAACGTTCTTAGTGGAAAAGTGCTCTTTAGATTATTCAAATGTTCTTGGAAAATTGTTGTTTTAAGAACTATTACATGGTTATATTACATGGCTACTCTGCAGTTTGACACCTGTGTGAACTTGTGCAGAACTGACTTCATACATCGATTAAACACCTTAATTACAAAAATGACTAAGAAGAGTTGAGTTCTGAGTTCTCTTTGTCATCGAATGTTTTCATAGTCTTCATACTTGCGTCATTAAATATGTCTATACTTTAAAACTAAAATGTATCTTAGAATCTATTACAGAGCAAAAACCAAAGAAAACCTCAGGAAAAATCGTAGCCTCAAGCAAATCCGGACAGGCAGACACTCCTCGCGTTCACACTTGCAGGCGTGGTTCCGAATTCAACTTCCCCCTCACCCGCATCATTACTAGTAACACATCACCAGAAACTTGGGAGACTTCAACAACAGTGTTTGCTTGGATGTAACTGAGCAGAGAAAAAGTAGGCTACTCCAATATTATGGCAGACAAAGGACCTATTTTGACCTCAGTCATCATTTTCTACTTGTCCATCGGAGCCGCGATATTTCAAATTCTCGAAGAGCCTAATTTGAAATCAGCTTTAGAAGATTATAAAAATAAAACTGCCATATTATTAAATAAATATCCTTGTTTAAAGAAGGATGATCTGGATGACATCATTAAGGTAAGCTGATTTTTGATTCCAAAAGTTTAGGCAAACTGTTTGGTGGTTATAGGTAAACATTTCAGAAACTCTTTAGAAAGTTTTCAAGTGTTTTCAAAGTGTTTATCAAGCGTCGATTGTTGCCGACGTAAAACATTCACCGTTGCTATGGTGTTTCTCAAGCACAAGCGACTAAGAAAGTCTCGTCTGAACTTAATATGAGTTTAGAGTTTTCAACCCCTTTTCACCTGGTTTTGTTACGCATGTACGCATGGGCTACATAACCTTCATACAAGTATGGGCTATACAAAACAAACCGAAACTTTGTCGTAAACGTGTCAAATATCTGGAGGTGACGGGGTTCGTGATCCTAAAAAGACTGAAGCGCTATTGTTTCATGTTTGTGGACTTTTCGCCCCATGGGCAATAAAAGTGGCGAAGTCATTCTTAGGAATGTGCCTTTGCCAGTCATACATTGTACACTCGCTCAGGCGCGACAAAGTACCACGAGAAAGCGCGCGCCCACGTGCTTTGTGGAACGAATAGGAAAACAAAGCAAGCTTGTATGTTTATGATTGTTTCACTTTGATGCAGTTTGTTAGTTACTATTCAAAACTACCTTCAAAACTTCTAGGTCTAATCTTAGTACTATTTTCCCCAAACTGAATTAAGTATAAGACACAAAATCACCTAGTATTTTTAACATTAAGTTCCATATAGGCTAAATGTAACCTAATACAGTTAACTATTTTCTTTTACATCTCATTCTGGTTCATTTGACTATGATTTAATCCAGCAGATAGTAGTTAATAGTTAATTAATAAACCAAGGTTTGTTATGCACTTTTGTGTAATCGATCAACATCTAAATTACATGTTTGAAACATGATAATTGTATGCTCATTTCATTTGGTAACCACAGATGTTTAATTTGTCACCAGAGAACATGATATACTGCAACAGAGAAGAACCAGACAATTCCTTTGCAGAGGCTACACAATTACTGAAAAGATGAACTAGTTTAAATTCAGTCATACTATAAGAACATTATATGAAGAACACCAGTAACTATGCAGGTATTGAGTATGGCATTCCTCCTGTGTGCATTAGTGCAGATACTAGTTTCACAACCTTTAGTAGGCTATTTGATTTACAGTATTGATACGGGCAGTAATGGCAGTGTCATATCTACACTGATCACAACATTTAAAACAGTAAGGATAAATATTATTTATGTAAAGAGTTTTTTTGGTTTCTGTTTTCAGTTTGTTTTGGGATATGTTTTCTAATATGACACTTAACATTTTAAGTAGTGTAACATGTCATTTGGAATCTCTAAGGCTCTAATTGTTTGATATTGAATTAGCTGATTGTTAAATTTGACTATAGTGCTAACATGATTATACTTTTTTTTTTTTTTAAAGCCATCATATTTATGTTTCTTGGGCGTGATGTAACATGATGTGGCAAAATAAAACCTGTTCCTCGGGTTTTCATACTACAATACTGAGGTGACGTTAAAGGTTCCATGAGGGTTTTTGCATTGATAATTTTTTTGTTTCCCCAAAGAACCTTTCAGCAAAAAGTTCTTAAGATTTGAACAATCTAAAGAACCTTATTCCTATATAAAGAACAAGTTGTGCAATGGAACCATAGATGCCAATAAAGAACCTTTATTTGAATGTAATATACTGTTATTCAAATAAGTGAGCTGGAAGATGCTCAATAGAAGTTGTTTTTGCTGTATTTGAAGGGATAGGAAAAGAACATATGAGTTGTTTCAGTGACATATAAAGTCAGAATGAGATCAAGACTGTAGGGCGTCCTACTGTTTTAGTCATTTTGGGTAGGGTGTGTGTGTTTGCGTAGCCGCTAATTTAGGCATTTAAATAATAGCCATGTTTACCGTCTGCAGAGTAGGCTGACTCTTATTAGTGTATATGAAGACAGGGCTTTATTTTGCTGATATCTTCACAAACGCTAAACACTCTTCCTCTTTTCCTGTTGTTTTGACTGTCTGACTGACGTATATGGAAGCCCGTTTCCGTCTCTTGAGTAAAAAATAAAACGGTTAACTGTAAGATAAGGTAAAGTAAGAAATTAAGATTTCTTAAAATAAGAAATGAAGTTGCAATTGTGGAATACATTTTTAATTATTAAGTCACAGTTGTGACATTAAGTCTTAAAGAATTAAGTCACAGTTACCTTTTTACTCTGAGGTGGAAACTGGTTTCTATTGCTACTAATGTGATTTGCAACACAAATGAAATAAACCCTAAAGCTGTATCTAATTATAGTTTGTAAAGGCGAAGAATTCTTCTTTCATCCCCATTGTTTACATACAAACATTGTGTATTTCTCTTCTAGTTTCAGACTCTGCTCGCAGTGTCCTCTTTTGGCATTTGTATTTATTGTTATATATTGTAGTTAATATTTTGTTTAATGTTTCAACATCAGGTTATGGCCGAGGCAGCTGGAAGAGGTGTGACTGTAACAACAGAGAAACAATTCAACAACTGGAGTTGGGAGAATGCAGTTATTTTTGCTGCCACAGTCATCACTACCATAGGTAGATATTCCCTATAGAGACATGTTTTTTTTTACTGACTTTATTGACTTATTGCAGGCTTAAGTTAGAACTAGGGATAGCTCGATTCCACTTTTTATCAGAGCTTTTATCGATACTGTAGCCTCGTGTATCTGTCTATACCAATTCGA